AGCAGAGGCTGAGCCCAGAACAGGCTGCTAGAGAGTTTGGGATGAGAAGCAGGGACTTCACGAGGTGCCCAGGGAGGAGACCCGCCCCAGGGAGGGCTGGGGGCTTAGGGACCATCATGCCAGGGGGCCTGCAAGGCTGGTCACTTTACCCTCCCTCTTGTCCGCATCACAAAGCCCTGTTTACTTCCTTTATTGCCCTCATTGCAATCTTGTTTATTTATCTGCTTACTGTTTTCTTGTTTATTTCCCATCTGGTCAGGACTGTAAGTCAGATCCTTGAAAGCCAGGACTGCCCTGGTTCTAGCAGCTGATGCACAGCCTGGCACACAGTAGGCATGTAATGTTTGTGAAGGAAAATAAGGATGAAGGAGTACATGAGCAAATGGATGAATAGACAGGAGGGCAGGGGTGAGGTACAGCTGGTCAGGAATGGGTGAAGACATCTTTCCCTAGCCTGGGCTGGAGGCCAGGATCCACACAGCAGCCAGGAGATGGGTGCCCCCAGCATCCCTTCTCTGGGTCTCAGTTCCCTCAACTGTAAAATGGGGATTACAGGACTACCCACCTCATTAGATTGTTTTGAGAATTAATGAAAAAAATCCTTGTTGAACACAGCTCTGTGTCTGGCACAATGTGGTCTATAGCTTTATTCACTGAGTGGGGAGGCAGGGAGGCAGGTGGAATATACACCAGCTCCCACCATTCAACAGAAAAAGTCTGAGATTCAGTTCCTAAGATCCAACGAGCTTGTTCTCACTCAGAAACTCCCAGCTGAGCCCAGTGAGGGGACAAAGGTCTGTACTAAGTGAGTTATAAAAACAAGTCAGAGCCAGGAACTGCTGAGCCGCCCCTCCAACCCCCTCCCCGCCCACACTCACACAGACACCCGCCCAGGATTAACTCTGGCCTGCCCAGCATGCTCAGCCTCTGGCAGGATTTTGAGAAACGAAAAGAGAAGGAGGGGAGACGTTTCCCATTTCATTTCAATATTAATCCCTCAACCTTCAAAGCACTTGCAAGAGCCATTTGATGCTCACAGTATCTCCTGGAGGCAGGTGGCAAATGAGGAAACTGAGGCCCCAAAGCGGGGATGTACATTACCTACAGCCAACCTGGGCCCGAACTCGTTTCTCCTGACCCCCAGGCCCCACTCTGTCTGCTGGACCACCTCAGATGTCCATAGCACTGAACAGACACTTCATCCTCATCCCAGGGACAGCGATCCAGTGGGTTTGCCATAAAGGCTCCCAGCTGAGCCCTTGGCAGACATCACTAATCAACGAGGGCACACGCCAAATCCTTTCCAACAAGGGCTCCAGGCAGACACCACCAATCAATCAGAATCGGTCTGGGAGATTAAAAGGTTCCTCAGCCCTGCTCTGGGCAGTGACTGCTACCTGGTGCTCCCCAAATGCTTAGTGCAGTGCCTGCACATGGGCCAGCATTTAATCCACGGAATTTTAGTGAGGGAGTGAATGAATGAACAAATGGACACCCAGCCTGTGCCAGGTGCTTGGGCAACCCCATGTGACCTCTATGCACATTCCAGAATTCCTTCCAAGGGCCAGTGAATCACTTCTCCTTCCTGCTCTGCGGCCCCAGGCAAGTCATCCAAGCTCTCTGAACCTCAGTTGTTTCATCCATGAAATGGCCTTCACATCTGAACCTGACTCAAGGCTGGCCTGGGGATTCAAGGAGGCCACCAGAGGAGCACTGAGACCAGGGCCCAGCACAGCAAGAGCTCCTGAATGCCAAGCGGCTGACCCTCTTTCTCATTACACTTAGGGACCTGAAGCCAGGGGCCAAGATGTTTTTCTGGGCACCAAGCCTGGAGCCCAGGACCAAGCTGGGCAAACACAGATGCTGGTGGGTCGTTAACCTCCACCTGGGGCAGTAAAAGGGTCCAGGTTCTCTGGGGCAGGAGGTGGGGGCTGCCCAGGCTCCACGACCCCAGGCTTGCTCCCCAGTGCGCACCACCCACCAACCATGGGAGAGCCTCCCCAGGGTACAGCGCAGGGCCCCCACCTCCATGCACCACGAGCCCTGCAGACTCGGAGAGGACTCAGCAATGACCCCTGCGGTCAGCTGTGCCCCACCATCTTCTCTGACACCACCTGCAGTCCTGTATCAGTCCCCATGAAACAACACATATCCCATACTCAAGGACAGCGAGCTGTGGACACCAGAGCCTGGATCGGGAAGTGGGACATCTGGGCTCCAGCCCCAGCTCCAGGCAAACACCATCAACGCTCTCCTCCTCTCTGGACCTCAGTTCACCCATCTGGAAATTACAAGTGGAGGCCCCCTGGTCTCCAGGGCTCTTCCAACTCTAACGGTATATTCTGCATACTTATATTCCAGAAGTCTTTATGGAGTACCCACTGAGTACCAGGGCCTGTGCTGGGCCCCGAGCTGTTCTCTCTGCCGGAAGGCCCCTCTCCATCCCAGGCCTCCAAGTCCCACCTTCCCCCAGGAGTCTTCCCTGACCAGCTTTGGAGTCCTTCCCTTGCCTTCCTCCAGCCCTGTCCTTCTTGCTGTCACAGACTTATCACTCAGTATCATCTGTCTGCTTATCTTGTCTGCTTCCCTCTGAACTGTGGCCTCCTGAGGAGGAACACGTCTTGTTCCCTGACCCACTGCAGGAACTCCAGAGGAGGGCTCTGGAAATAGCTCTTGGGCAAATGAACAAATGAATGAATGCATGAATTCCAGATCTGCTCCTCCTCCCTCTCAATCCAACACAGCCCTCAATTAAGCTTTTTGCGTCTGCATCCTCCTCCCCAAACCAATCCCTGGGAGCCCACTGGACAAATCTCACTGCTGACCAGGAAGCTTCCTAGCTGTGTCTCCCTCCTCTGAGCTGGGTCACCAGAGTGCCCACAAGGCATATGTGACACTTTCGAGGTATTAACTACTCCAGTGTGGGGCTGACACCCCCTGGGTTTAACAGGAGCCCAGGGCTCCTTTGGTTCTGTGCCCTGCTCCATGCCATCCTAGCAGACAGTCAGTAAATATTTAGGCATTAATTAACTTCCTCCAGGGAGCAAAGACTCAGTGCCAGATGTAATCTTCCGGCTCCAGGGGGAAAGGTGAGCACCTCAGTCTTTATCAGGTGCTCAAATAAGGCCAACCCTTCATCCCAGGACCTTGTCTCACCTGGACCTGCCCCTTGCACGGGGTCTGAGGGCCCTCTTCCCCACACGTGTGCAAGCGGATATTCACACACACGTACACACTCACTGCCCTGAACAGTCTCTGGTGTCCCGCTGTGAGCCACTGTGCATCCAAACAGAAGCAGGTCACCCACCTGTTCTATGAACATTGTGAATTCCTACTGTGTGCCCCGGAGCTTCTCTGCTCCAAGGGGCTCTGAATAGCTCAGCTGTTTCACAGCCTCCTTCAGCAAGTGTTTTTTTATAACAGCTGCATCAACACCCACCTCCCAGACCACCCCAAAAGAGACCAAGGGTTTTATCAAGCTAGACAACTGCTTGCCCTCCCGACTAGCCCACTTCTCACTTCTTGAGGAGGCAACCCCAACTCCCTCAACAAGAAGGCTCCTAAAATGGGGCCTCAAAGATGGGCTGACCACTTCTCAGCTGGCCCCAGGGAGTGAAAGAGCCGTAGCAGAACTCAGACTCACCTTGGGGCAGAGGCTGAGCAGGGGTTGGGAAGTGCTAAGAGGAGCTGCCCAAGGGAGGCGCCTGGTTTCCCTGTCCCCAGCCTGTGGTCAGAGAATCCACTTTTTCTCTATCTTGACTCCCCATCTGGGACCCCAGAGCTGAGTTACAGGGTGCAGCTCCCAGAATGGCTGTGAATGCTGAGCTGGCACAGAGGTCTGATTCTTCATGGACTTCTACAGGCCCTGGTCTCAGAGCAGCTGGCAGGAAAGTGGTGGGTGTCCATCAAATCAAGGTCACATTCACCATGCGCTAAACCCTGGGAACTGGGCTCAGATACACCAACAGCAGAAGCAAGCAGCTTGGAACCAGTTCTGGTCCTGGGAATAGACCTGGGTTCAAATACTGCCTCCACCCCTTCTAGACTGTATGACCTTGAGCAAGACACAAACACTAAGTCTTAAGTTTCCCCCAGTGAATTCTGGACAAGGACAGAATGAAGGCCCCAAATCAGCATTAATAATACATTCCTGGACTCTTGCAACCTGCCAGACCCGTGGGTCCATGGTTGCATACGGAGTTCTCACAGCTGTAAAGCCCGAGAGGACCTCTGCTTCCCTGCCCATGCTAGTGATGTCTCAAAGGAGAACTTCAAAAATAAATAAAAGAAGCCTTTATGTGTCTTTAAGACAGGCCCTAGGGAAGTAAGGGGTAGTATATTTTTATTCCTACAGGTTTATCACATGGACAATTCCACGCTTGCATGTCCCTATCACCAGATCACCAAGAGAACGGAAGTAAGATGTCCTTTCTCGGCAGTCCCCTGAAAATGTCAACCTGGCTTCTCTGAGTCGGGCAGGGAGAGGTGCTACTGGTCACAGGTGCTCAGACCAATATGGGATGTTCATAGGCAGCCTGCAGAAGGCAGCGCCCTGGGCCTGGAGCTGGGAACTCTGGGCAAGTGCCTTCCACTCCCGGTGCTCAAGTTCCCTCATCTTAAAAATGGGTTTAATACTCCCTGGCTTTATTTCCACCTTTGACACCTGGCATGAGTAGATGCTGAAAACTGCTTGAGGAAACAAATCTGGACGAGTCTTAAGACTGAAGGGAGTCCCAGAAACTGCAGGGCGGGCTGGCTGGGTCTCTTCACGCCCACCAAGGATGAACCAGGTGCTGAGGACCACAGGCCCAAGAGGACACTTTGAAGAAACCCTGAGGAGAGGGTGCTCCCGGGGCCTCCCTCTCCCACGAGGGGGTGAGCAGCCCACAAGGGGGGCTCTCATAGCCTCTGTGAACCCCGTTCCTCCTTTAAGGGCCAGCTCAAGGACCCACTCCTCAGGAAAGCTTTCTGACCACCCCCGACCCACCCCAGCTATGTACCTTGGACTCCTCTCAGTCATCCCTCCGTCAGGCCTCTTAGTGCAGATGCAGACCAACCTGGAGATCGCAGCCCTTTCCTATGTCCTCTGGTTGTCTCAGTCCCCAGCCTGGGGGAGACGGCCCCTGAATAGTTCAGCACAAGAAGGAAAACAGTGTCAACAAGTTACATTGTGAGTTCCTCAGCCTTTGCTAGTCATTCGCCTCCGGCCCGGAGCTCACAGCCCTGGCACAAATCCTGGCTCTAGCCTTTCCGAGCTGTGTGATTCCCGAGTCACCCCAACTCCTCTGAGACTTGGGGTCCCTGTCCAGCCAGCAATCACAGCAGAGGATTCAGGGCGGTTCTGGCGAGGGCCTGCCCCATACTAGCCACATAATAATAGCCCCCATTGTCATTATTATTAGTTAGGAAGGAAAAGAAAGGTTACAGAACCGGTGATTAGGACACCTGGTGTCAGCTCTCAGAGGCCCACACACTCTGGGGCATGCCTCGGAAGCTCCCCCAACAGGGGAGGCCAAAATTCACCATGCTTTTTTAGTTTGTCGCGTCATTCAAATGCAGAGGACGGATCTTCCTCGAGTATTCCCTGAGGCCCCTCAGCCAAAAAGCCAGAAAATCAGACCCAACATTTTCTTCCATTAAGGGCACCTCCGAACGTCTCTTCCTTGAGGGTTCTCCAAGGTGAGGCCAGCGGCCCCACCAGTCTCCTGCAAAGGCCAGGGGTCCCGCGGGCCAGCCGGGAACGTCAGGTGAGAAAGGAGGTGCCGCGTGGCCAGGAGTGGGGAGCCGCACGCACCTGCCGCAGGTGAGGCCCAGCCGTGCGGAAGGGGGAGGAGCTGTCGCCGCGCCACGCTCGCACCTCCAGCAGCAGCTGCACCCGCACCCGCACCCGGCACCAGGAGCTAGGCTAGGGGCGGCCGAGGGCTTCAACGTGGCGGCTGCGAGGTGACTCGTGTTGCAGACAGCAGCCCCAGGGGCGCCGGAGACCTGCGCGGCGCAGCAGCCCCAGGAGAACATTCGAGGCAGCGGCAGCGTTGGAGGCCCGGGGTCCGTTCGGTATTTGAATAGCACAAAGGAACCGCCTTGGTCTGATTGGCCCGCCGAGAGGCCCCGGGGCGGGCAGCGCCTGTCACTCGGGAGCCTTTGGACACTTCTATTGGTTCATCAGGTGCGGGGCGGCACCCGGACGCCCGGCTAAATAGCTGGGGCCGGGGCCGGCCGAGGCTCATTGCTTTGGCGCCGACTGGGGAGCACGAGCCCGTGGGGGGCGCGCAGCGCACGGTGGCGGCTCCTTTCGGAGCGCAGCCGACCCGCTGACCCGGGCTCCGTTTCCCTGTCCAGCGTGGCCCCGCGGCCGACTGGAGGCCCAAACAGTAGCGGCATTAGCAGCGGCAGCGGCTGCTCCGCCGCCGCCGCCGCCGCCTCCGCGGGAGCATGGAGTGCGCCCTGGACGCCCAGAGCCTGATCAGCATCTCCCTGCGCAAGATCCACAGCTCCCGGACCCAGCGCGGCGGCATCAAGCTGCACAAGAACCTCCTGGTGTCCTACGTGCTCCGCAACGCGCGCCAGCTCTACCTGAGCGAGCGCTACGCCGAGCTCTGTCGGCGCCAGCAGCAGCCGCCCCACCAGCACCAGCACCCGGCGTACGCAGCGCCCGGCATGCCGACCAGCGCGGCCGATTTCGGGCCGCTCCAACTCGGCGGCGGCGACGCGGAGGCGCGCGAGCCGGCCGCCCGGCACCAGCTGCACCAGCTCCACCAGCTGCACCTCCAGCAGCAGCTGCACCCGCACCCGGCGCCCAGGGGCTGCGCGGCGGCGGTCGGGGCGCTCGCGGAGCTGCCCGGGGGCGCCTCGCTCCAGCCGCCTCACGGCGCACCCCACCGCGGGCAGCCCTTGGAGCCGCTGCAGCCGGGTCCTGCGCCGATGCCGCCGCCCGCGCCCGCCGCGCTCTGCCCGCGGGACCCTCGCGCCTCCGCTGCCTGCTCCGCGCCCTCTGCGCCCCCAGGGGCCGCCCCCCAGGCCGTAGCCGCCGCCTCCCCGCCCGCCTCCCCGGCCCCCGCCTCCTCCTCCGGCTTCTACCGGGGCGCGTACCCGGCCCCCTCGGACTTCGGCGTGCACTGCAGCAGCCAGACCACCGTGCTGGACCTGGACACTCACGTGGTGACCACGGTGGAGAACGGCTACTTGCACCAGGACTGCTGCGCCGCCGCCCACTGCCCCTGCTGTGGCCAGGGAGCCCCGGGACCCGGCCTGGCGTCCGCGGCCGGTTGCAAGCGCAAGTATTACCCCGGCCAGGAGGAGGAAGACGACGAGGACGAGGACGCGGGCGATTTGGGCGCGGAGCCCCCCGGGGGCGCCCCGTTCGCGCCCTGCAAGCGCGCCCGCTTCGAGGACTTCTGCCCCGACCCGTCCCCGGACGCGTCCAACATCTCAAACTTGATCTCCATCTTTGGCTCGGGCTTCTCCGGGCTGGTGAGCCGACAGCCGGACTCCTCGGAGCAACCGCCGCCGCTCAACGGGCAGCTGTGCGCCAAGCAGGCGCTCGCCAGCCTCGGCGCCTGGACTCGAGCCATTGTCGCCTTCTAGGGACCCCCCGAGGGCACGGGGCCCCGGAGCCCCGCGGGGCTGGGGCCAAACAAAGACTCGGCCAAGGGGCGAGAGGAGGGAGCAAACAGGCGCCCGGCCACTCGGGTCTGAGCTGGGAACCAGCAGGGGAAGGCGGCTGATGTTTTATAAATTGTAAAATAAAAAAAAAAAGAAATCTAAGATATTGGACTTTATTTTTGCAGAGAGAAAAAGCGCCTATTTAAGTATGCTTTGTGTTTCTCCTACTCTATTTTTTCTTGTAGTGATTGCAGTGGTGTTTAGCGAGAAGCCAGCCACGTGAGGGAGGGCTGCTGCCCGGAGGTGGTGCCGGGCAGCCGGGGGCGAGGCAGGGCGCCCCGGCCGCCGGAGCGCGCCGGGGACGCAGAACAGAAGGGCGCGAGGCCCCGGACGCCAATGCCAATCAGTTGTCAGACCCAGGAAGCCCGGCTCTGGGTTCTCCCGAGTACCTCCGTGGGGTGAGAAATGGGTCTTGTGAAATCCTGAGCAAAAACAAAGGCAAACTCTATCTCCGAAAGGGACGTTTGGGTCACATTTCCTCTCTGGGGGCGGCCTCCAAAGTTCTCAAAATGAGAAGGCAGAAATGAAAACACTTCAACTTTTTTTTTCTTTCCCGGGGCGGGTGTCTTGAGCCCCTCCTCTCCCAGCTCTCTGGCTCCGTTCGCCTCCCCTCCTCCACCCGTCTCCCGGACTCGGGGGTGGCACCCGACACCCTGACACTTTCGGACACTGTTTGGGGAAGGGGTTGGGGGCGGGCACGGTGGACTACATTTCCCATCATGCCCAACACTGCGGTCCTCACTAAACAAAAAAGGAAGTCGATTCCTTCACCTGGATCCCTGGCGGCCCCGAGGGAGGGAGGGGCCGGGACCGCCGACTGCGTTGGAGACTTTTCACTAAGTTTCTGGTCAGATGTGTTGTGTGTGTGTGCTTCTAAAGTTGCACTGTTCTGGTTTCAGCCTTTGGTTGCATTTCATGAAACCAGCATTGTTCGAGGCTGCGAGAACCCTGTCCTGTGTCTTCAGCTCGATAGATTTTGTTTAATTTAAAGCCTTTTGTTGTAAAAAGGTGGGGTTGGTCTGCAGCCCCTCTGGTTCTCTGCCACCAGCACCATGTGGACTCCAAAACGAGTTGCCAACCGTTCCTTTCTTGGCCCTTCTCCCTCATTCTCCTGTATTTTTGTGTATACTGAATTGTATATCACCGGGTAAAACTGTTCAAATTATTTGTTTAAATTTATAATCTTAATAAAAAGTCGATTATAGAGGATGGTGGTGCCTTGTTTTTAGGTCCGCCTTGGAGGTAGCGGGGAGAACAGAGGGAGGCGGGGAGAAACCTCTACCCCCATGCAAATACCAGCTCTCCAGGGCCAGAGCAGGAGGGATCTGCCTACACCCGCAAGGCCCGGTTGGGAGCAGGATGGGCCCGTCAGGGGTGGGGGTGGATGGATGTCGTTTGTCGGGGATGAAGCCACTGCAGCGCCCTCCTGGGGACCTGCCCCCAAGGGAACCAGCCGCCCCCGAGTCTCCAGTAGGAAGCCCAGCCTGCCTCCAGCACATTTCCTGCCCGGCGAGGGACGCAGGGCCTGATCGTCTTCCAGGGTGAGCAGAGATGAGGCCGGAGAAAACAGCCAAGGGGTGCCGGGGGGCTTCTGGGCCACCCATATTCCCCGCCGCGGGTCTCCGCCCGCACGTCCGCACGTCTCCTGCTGCAACTTGGGGAAGTTTTTTCCTTTTCCTTTTTTTTTTTTTAAGTTGAGTTTGTTATCACTGCTCGGTGCCGCTTGGTGGTGTGCTGGCGGCGCCTCCCTCCCTCCTCGCGCCCCTCCCTCCCCAGTGGAGGCAGGAAGGCTCCGGCGCGCTCTCCCCTCTGACCACCCACGGAATGACCTCAGAGTGGGGGAATGTGCCAAGGCCCCGAGGAGCTCGCGTTCTCCCCACTGGAACCAAATTCACATCTGGAGCCGCAGCTCGGGCCGGGGGCGCGCGGGGTGGTTCCAGTTTTGCAGAAAAAGGGGATAGGAGAGAAAGACTGGGGGGATGGGGGAGAGAGAAAGAAAAGAAGCAAAGTAACAAACAGCCCGCCCCCCGTTTGTCTGAGTCTCTCTCCCCGTGTCTCTCTCTGTCTCTGGCTGTCTCCTCAGCTCCCTCGCGCTCGTTTCTCGTCCCTGTTCCGCCCTTTCCTACGCCAACCACCCAGCTGGACGCCTCCCGCCCCCACCCCAGCCTCGACACCTCCCGCAGCGAGAGGAGGGGGTAGCCGCCTAGAGGCCCCCTTCCCAGACTCGGAGAGACTGACGAAGGCCAGTTCCAGGGGCCCGCTCGGCTCTGGGTCCCCGAGTCGCGCGAAGCGAAGTTCTCGGGGACACTCCAGAGCGCGGGGGGCCGCGAAGGTCCGTGGTGGGGCTATGGGAAGAGGGAGGCTAATGGAGGCGTGAGTTACGGGGAGGAAAGGCACCTTCACCCTCCAGGGCTGTTTTCTCGGCCTCCCACGGGAAGAGCCTGGAGCTGCTGGGGAGGGAGAACGCTGCGTCTCCCCCTCCCCATTTTTTCCGGGCAAGTCCTAGGGGTTGCTGTTTGATGCACGGCTTTGATTCCATCCGCCAAGCCAGTTGCCAGAGCTCCCCCTAGCGCCGCTTCGAGGGCGCTGCAGCTGCTGCGGCTAGGAGTGGGCGAGGCACAGCCCGGGGGGCTGTCGGGCTGCTGGGGGCCGCTACTCGCCGCACACTTGGGAAGCAGCGCCGCTTGCGGATCCTGCTCTGGCTGGAGAGGGAGCCCAGAGCCACGTACGTCCCCACTCCAGGCCGTCGTCCGGGAGGGGGCACGTGGTCTGCCGCCTTTGTTGGGGGCGCGGATCTGGGCATGGGAAGGGACTAGCCAAGGGGCTAGGGAGTGTGGGTGGTGGCCTGCAAAATAAGAACTCTAAACCCAGCAGGACCTCGGACCAGCATTCTCCTCCCCTCTGCCGGTTGTCTGAGCTTCAGCGGCGCCAAGAGACTCAGGTCCACTGGGATCTAGTGAAATGAAGGGATAGGGAAGGAGGGCTCCGCGAGCACCCAGAAGAGGCGTCCTCCCCCACACCCTTATCTTTTCATGGCAGGGGACCTTGGGGAGCCGCACAAAGGGTTAATACCCTGAGCACAATAGGCAGGGACCCAAAACACAACTCACTGGCCTGGCGATCTACATCTCACACTAAGACATTCCACACAAAAAAGTAACACAAGCATCAACCTGAGAGTATCCTGCACACCACACTGAGGGCCACACCCAGTCACACACACTGTCCCCAACACAAGGCTGCTCTTAAGTGGCATCCTCCCTTCACTCAAACCCCCAGGGGACTGGCCCAGCACGCAGCTTGCCCTTCCGGAAGATCCTAAGAGACTGGTGCTCCTGTGCACAGCGCCACTGAAAGACTGGCGGGTGGAGAAAGATGCCTGGCCCTGAGGGTCCTCGGAGAAGGGGAAGCCAGCAGACAGGCAGTCGCACCAGGAGTCCCCAGACCCAGGTCTCCGGACAAGCTCCCCTCTCTCTAGTAAACAGACCAAGCCAGAGCCTCCAGGCAGGATGTGGGGAGGCAGGGAGAATGGAAGAGTTTGAGGGATGCAGGGTCTGATGAAAGGGGGCTTCCAGAGAACAGCAGCTCAAGCAGCCAGAATTCCAGCAAGCCCCTCGTCCCCCAGGTTAACCAGCCCCCACCCACCGCCCACACATGCACTGCCCCCAGGTCCTAGAACACTGCAGGTCCCGATGCCCTGGATCCCCGGTATAGAGCTGAGCAAGGCTCCAAGCTGCGCTCCCAGCAACATGGAGCTGCCAGGATGACAGCCCAGAGCCTCAGAGAGCTGCAGGCTGCCCTCCAGAGAAGCTGGGGGTGCCCTGGGCTCCCTGGAGGTCCGCTATGCAGAGCACAGAGATCTGAGTGCTTCTACAGCGTGGTGTGTGTGTGTGTCCCTCTGGTGCAGGGCATGCACACCCAAGAGCTATGTCTATGCATTTCCACTCTATGGACACACATTTACAGAGCGCCTACTTGGTGTCTAGCCTGTTCAAAGCACTGACCACCTGGAAAAAGAACTGCAAATAAAAAAAACAGCAATCCGTGTATGTGGAGTCACTCACTTAGTTTTCCCAGCTACTCTCTTAGATATACTACTAGCACCCCTGTTTTAGAAATGAGTAAACTTGCCTGAAGTCACACAACTAAGAAGTAGCCAGTCTTCCTGTTGGAATTCACCATCTAGCAGGGAAGAATTTATAACATATTGCAATAAGAGCTGGCAAATGACCCAGATGTTGTCTAAATAATAATATTGACAAGTTCCAGCAGAATCTGAACCATCAGGTTGGGAGCAAACACATACAAACACACCCAGTGCTTCCTGCTCTGGGTCCCAGGGTTGAGGGATGGAGAAACACACAGGACAGTCCCACCGCACCCAGGGAAAGGACTGGCACTTATCAGGACCCTTATGGTAGGGGATAGCAAACTGACTGGAACCAACTTTGGTAAAAGGTGGGATTTCATGGGTCATGACACTAAACTGTGCAGTGGGCAGGGGTACAGCTAGCTTCAGGGACAACTGCATCCAAGGACAAATCTCCAGGATGCACTCACTCTGTCTTTCTTCTCTGCACTTGAGCTTCCCATTCTTCCACTGCAGACCCACTTCTCACTACAGCTCTAGGAGGCGGCTTCTGGCTTCCCATCTCACCGCTTTGCCACCAAAGAGGGACTGTCCTCTTCTCTTATTTTCAACTCTAAAAATCTCAGGGAAGGGCTCGGTCATGCCTCAAATTTGTATCCTGTCCCAAATCTGCAGGGTGGTTAACAGCCCCCCAATGGGAGCTCCTGGCAGAGAAGGGGCCCTCTCCCCAGGGAAGGGTGGTACTGCGTGACAGATCACAGATGCCCCACACAGAGAGGGCCTACGAGCCAAGCTAACGGAGGCTTGGGAAGACCCAGGGCAGCACAGGCATGGCTGCTCCAGGGCCTGGGTGATTAAGTGCAGCCCGCACAGCTCTGGGGAAGGAACATTCTCCTCGTTCCTAACCAGGATAATGAGGCTCCAGGGCCATCTGGTGCCTCCCAGGTTTGCCACTCAGGAATCACCAGGCAAGGGGAGGCTACAGCCCCTGGGGCAGGGGGACAGATTCTCCCAGCAGGCTCATGGTAGGGATGGTGACAAGGGCCACCACCCTCTGGTGACTAAGGGAAATGGACATCCGCAAGGAGGCCACACAGGAAGAACTTGGCTGAAGTTACTGTGTGGCTCCCCCAGGCACTGCCAGATACGTCTGAAAAGGCCTTGAAGGCTACTTGATGGAGGGACAGGGCCACAATGAGGTTAACGTGCCACTCTATACCCCCAGCTGGTGGGGTCTGGGGACACCTGGGGTACAGGTAACATTATCTATTCACATGTGCAGATAAAAACGAGTCACTAGAAGCTCTAAAATATCAAAATGGTTATTACTAGGTGGGAGGAGTACAGAGGACCTTTGTTTTATCATTCATACATCTCCATATTTTCCAAGTTTTCTACAATAAGCATATATCACTTCATATTTAGAAGAAAAAGTTAACACTACATTTTTCAGAGAAAAATGCGCCATGCCACGTGCTATACTTGATGTACAGCGTGCTACAGAGCAGAGAGGGGAGGCAGCTATTGTAACCCTGTCTGGGGCACACTCAGCCTCCAAGAAACAGTACCTAACCAGGAAGCGCGATTCACCAGAATCCACCCTCCTGCACTCTGTGTTACAAGAGGTATGAAACAGAACGACAAGCTCGTCTCAAGGATGCTGTGGAGGAGGCGTTCTTGTTCACCCTCACCTCTGACCCATCCCAGCTCCGCCCAGATCTACCCATCAACCATCCCAGATGATTTGTCCACAGTTTCTGGATTACCTAGCAAGCTGGGTAGTAAGAGGCAAATATGCTTGGGAAATGTTTTCAGCGAGTGAGGCTGAAAGTAATGGGTAAGTGGCAAAGCTCGGCAGCAAGAGTGCTGGATCAGAAGGCTGGAGACCCAGGAGCAGGTTACCTGGGGACCTGATGGGATAAGTTGCTTTATTAGCTGGCCCACATTTCCTCATCTGTAGAGATGGAGTGAGAGGTGAGAAGTCAAGTCCTAAACCTGCGCTGATGTTCTAAAAGTTGAAAAAGCAACTCGTTTCCAGCCTTCTGGTGAGCTGAGGCTTTATGTCCAATCACAGTAAGAAAAAGGCAGGTAGCAACATCAGATTGCACATCTACCTATGTGCATGGTCATTTGCCTATTTCACTCACTCATTCAAAAACTGCATGCATTCATTCATTAAAATATTCACTAAATACCTATATACACCAGCCACTGTATTAGGCACCAAAGATGAAGCCATGAACAAGACAGACATTATAGAGTCTAGTGGGGGAAACAAACAGTAAGCAAGTCGACCAATAAACAATGAGATAACTGTTATGGGAAAATAAAAACAGGGCTACAGGGGACCAGTGAGTTGGGGGTGGCACCACTTTAGATTTGGTGACCAGAGAAGATGATATTTGAGCTGGGACCTGAATGGGTCTGCTATATTATTCAGTATAGGATAGGCTATGCTATGGTAACAAATCAGTCCCCAAATATCAGCAACTTAACACAACAAAGATTAGTTTTTTGACCATGCAGTCTGGTTAAGTCAGAGAACTCTCCTGGGCTGCTGGCCTCCATGTGGTGTCTCAGCGATTCAGGGCTCTGCTCCATTTCAGCCGGGAAGAGAATCTCCTCCCTCACACTCACAGCCCATCAGCCAGAATAAGTCCCATGACCCAGCCTATCCCTGTAAAGGGCCTGGGACAGGAAGTGTTCCTGGGGGCCTAGGAAGGAGAGGTGAAGCCCAGATGGATGGGTATGAGAAATCTCCACCACACCAGCAGGACCAGCGACAGTGGGAGGATGTTCTGGGCAGAAGGAACAGCAGGTGCAAAGACTAAACACGGGAACTGATTTGGCACATTCAAGGCACTGGAGAAGGACTCACATGGCTGAGGCAGAGGGCAAGGGGGAGAGTGGCAGGATACAGGAGGAGAAAGGAAGGCTGGTAGCAGTGCATTCTGCTCCCACCCACCAAGGGACTTCGCATAATGCCTGGCAGGCAGCAAGCACTCAAAGAAGCGGTAATGATTATTGGCAGTTATAGGAACTCCCTTCCTTTCCCCAGGCTTTGGGGAAGGGTGCTTGGGGGTCAGAGGGAAGGGATAAAGCAGTATGACCACAGTCTGGGTCAGCTGCCTCACAAGCTGCTGTGGTCATGCTGAGCAGGCTGGGGCTCCAGACCAATCTGAGTTTTGTCCCGCTTCCCAGTGGATTGAGCCCCATAGACGCACTCATCCAAGGGACCCTCAGCAAAGAGCAGGGGTGGGAGGGTGGTTCCAGGGATGTATGAGAGTTCCGTGTGTGCCATCCCCTCCCCGGAAGTTGTTGATATCAGATGAGTGAACACGGACCAGAACCCACAAGGCCACGCACCAGAGGGCTTCCTGTGGTCACCCCCACCCAGGGCACCTGTCCAAAGCCCAGGCTTTAAGTTCCAAGCTCAGCCTCCAGGCCCACACAGACCAGGCTACAAACCAGGCTCCTCACCTCCCTTCTCCACGGCTCTGGTCCCTTGTTCACCACGTGTGGATGTGCATGAGTACCCACCTGTGGAGTGAGCCTTCAACAGCACCACCCCTCGCGTTAAGTAGATGCCCAACACACAAGAGCTGTGATATTGTTGTGGGTCAGCTCTGCCCACATAATAAATTTTCATTGCAAAATGCAGGACAGTTTTTCTACTGACCTTTCCTATTCCAACAAAATTGATGACCTAAGAAATAAGAAGATGCACCTTTTCCAGAGGGACCCAATCAAGGTCTTTACTCTCTCACTGGGAGAGCGGAGGAAGTGCCTATAAACTTTGTTGGATTTTTTTTTTTTGTCTTTCCATAAATTGGCACTCATGTTTTCTAAAAGGTTCCTCTTCAGGAAGGTGTCTGGGTATCTTCAGGGCCTGGCTATGCCTGACAGTCAACATTTATTCAATGCATGTTTAACAATTTCATTCAGGACATGTGCTTGGCAACTGGATGAAAGGTTGGGTGGATGGACGATTTGTCCATTCCAGGGAGGGGTTTAAAGGGGAAGCAGTTGGTATGAGATTGTTGGCCTGCCCTCCCCCAGTCAGAGCCCTCCCCGCCACATCCCACCTGGGTCTCTAACTCCTCTGCCTCCTCCCCCAGCCCAGCTGTTGCCAGATGTTCCTTCATCACTCCCCTGTACCTTTCCCACCTTCATTCCCACCTCCCAGCCACCCTCCAGGCCACCACACACACACACACCACCCCACCCCAGGGTGAAACTCCAGGGTATCCTTTGACACCCACATCAACCACCGGGGGAAACACTGGGAAGGCTTCCCTCTGTTCAGTGAAAGAACTAGAGGCCTGGGACGGACACAGGACCTGGCTGAGAATAGAATAGGTCCCTGTGGGAATGGCAGTTCCATCTCTAAGTGACCCACAGACACTCCGGCTGGGTTGAGAGTTCCAAAACTCTTTAAGTCCAGAAAGGAATCTGGGTGTTCAGATACACAGGCCCAGATCCTCACCTCTGTGCGTCCCACATTGTTCAGGCCTCAGAAACTCAACTAAAACTGGCTTGAGCAAAGAGTGGCCTCACTGGCTCAGGACCCGGGAAGTCCATGTGTGTTTTAGAGCCAGGCACAGCTGGGCCCCCCAGGCTCACATGATGATGTCATCAGCGCTTGATCACTGTCTCCTGGCACTTCCTGTCCCTCCTCGGCTTCTTTGGTTTTCTCCAGGGCATGAGCAAGATGGCCACCAACCAGGGCCAGCTTCACAGGCATATATATGCCCAGTACAGTCACACATTTCAAAGGGCCCTGCGTTCAGAGGACCCCATCTTGGGGTTTAATGCTCTGTAGTTGCTGTCTTGAAATCCATAATCATTTTGTCTTTGAATCTGTTCTGCAAGTGAAGTCTGATGGGACAAGGGAGCATGCATGCACCGAGGGCTTGGACTCATGTGCCATCATGCCTCCTGCCACATACC